CTAGTTAGTTCTTACTTTATTGGTATTATTCTATTTAGTGCTTTTTTGTCAGTTGGTGTTTTACATCGCCAAGTTCAGTACTTTTTGCTAGTTGTTTTTATTGGTTGGAGTTTTTTCTTATATTATTAGAGTTATCGAGTTCAGTGTATTTTTTTTTATTGTTGTTTAGGTTGTTGCTTTCTTTTTCATAGTGCATTATCTGGAATAATAAGTTTCTCAACTATATAGCTAAGTATCAAAATTTTTTTGCTTTTAATATTGTGTTTGTGTAATACTAATTCAAGTTCAGGATAGGTATCCATCATGTTTCGCTTTTTTAGTGTATTACTATATATTTTTGTCAACGTTGGTGCTAAGTTTGTATTGTGTTATATTTGATGCTTTGTTTGTTATTTTATTCTTTATGCTGTGAGAGATGTTTTTCAATTTTCATATTAGACTTTGATTTTTGTAACATTGTAGTTAGAATTTAGGCATTAGAAGAATTGGTTTGATGTTAGAGTTAGAATTAAAATTAAGATTGGATTGAGCAGAAAAGAAGCAAAGCAATACAAGCTATATAAATTATAATTAGGTAGTATATAAGAAGGACAAAGTTATTTGTCACATATGTGACAGTGGCTTATATATCACGAATCATTAATTTGTCAGAAAATATATCACGTATATAAAATAAAATAATCACATATCACTATTAAATATCACAATCTAATATTTAACTATCAAATGTCACAATCTAATATTTATTAAATTTTACAGAATTCAAAAAATAATATATTAAAAATTATATTAAGATATATAAGCAGCAATACTAATTCTAAACTCTAAAAATGAATATTTTAAATATTAAATTTAATGTGATCTTGAATAGTCTAAATCAAAAAAAGAATTATTTATACTTGAATTCATTAACAAAGAAAATATGCAAATACTTATTCTGATCTTAATTTTTAAGAATGAATGTCTGGAGAAGTTAAATTCTATAAAATTTAGCAAAACCTAAAAGCAATAAATATATAAATAAGTTAAATAAATTATTTAATCTACAGCTTTCATAACCCAGAACTTATCACAAACAAAAAACCTATCCAAATTCTGACCTGTAAAAGGGTGTGTTTAAGAGGTTAAATTTGATACAGTCTTGTATATTCTAAAAAAGTTCTATACAGCATGTACGATCCTGAATTAAAAAAAATTCCTATAACCACCTTTTATACTAACCTTAACAATATAAAAAAGAACTATGCTAGAACTCACCCTGACTCTAACTTTCAAATAAGGCGTTTGTAAAATTTCAGTGAAGTTCAATATAGCATTCATGGTCTAATTCAAAATAAAAAAATTAATTTCCTATAACCACATTTTATCCTAACTATAATAATACAAAAAAAACTATACTGGTACTCACTCTAAACCTAACCTTTAAAAGGCTTATGAAAGTTCAGAGAAGTTCTGTATGGCTTGTACGGTTTAATTTAAAAGAAAAAAAAAAATAATTTCTTATAACCACCTTTTATTCAAACCTTAATGCAAAAAAAACTATGCTAATACTTACTCTAATCTTAACCTTTAAATGAAGGTGCATAAGTCAAAAAAGTTCTATGCAGCTTGCACGGTCTAATTCAAAAGAAAAAAAATTAATTTCCTATAATCACCTTTTATACTAATCTTAACAATACAAAAAAAAAACTATGTAGTACTCACCCTAACCCTAATCTTAAGGAGACGTTTGTAAATGTTTAAAGTTCTATACAGCTTGCACAATTCTGACTCTAAATAATAATAATAATAATAATAATTTCCTATAACTACTCTTCATCCTAACCTTAACAATGTAAAAATAACTATACTATTACTTACTCTAACCCTAACCTTTAAAAGGAAACGTTTGTAGATGTTTAGAGATTTATACAGTTTGCACGATTTTGACAAAGAATAAAAATAATAATTTTCTATAACCACCTTTTATTCTAACCTTAACAACATGAAAAATAACTATGCCAGTACTCACCCTAACCTTAACTTTTAAAAAGAGATGCTTGTGAATGTTTGGAGAAGTTTATACTGCTTGCATAGTTTAATTTCAAAAAAAAATAAAATTAATTTATTATAGCCTATGGTAACTTTAATATGAAAATAAACTTTGCTAGTGCTCACTAACCTTAAAGTAAAATATAAATTCTATATGGCCTTGAACATCGATACAAAAAGTGAATTACAATAATGCACATCTAAATTTTAATCTTTAAAAAGAAACGCTTGAAAAATTAAACTCTATACTATTCACATCTAAAATATATAAAAAAAGAAAATGTTAGTTATATTATAGTCATCCTAATCTTAATAAGAAAAAAAATACTTAACTCAGTTCTGATTTTTAAAAGGTTGCTTGAAAATATTTTAAGAAATGTTAATAACTATGCAATTCTAGTCATACTTATTAATTATTATTAGGATAGGTTTTAATTTAAAATATTAATTTGATATCAATTTGAAACATTAATTTGCTATATCAATTTGACATAATTATAACATTACATTATACAAAGAAATTCTATAACATTTACATTATATTGCACTATTTGTTAGGACAATTTCGTTTATCATGTTCCTTACTTTTGCAAATACTACACTGATGAGAAGCATGGGACGAAGTATCAGCTGGATGTTTACTTTTTTTTGATTGTTCAATTGCTGATTTTATTTGCCTTTTAGGAGGACACCCTTTTCCAATATGTTTAAGTGGATTCTGAATATCTAGTCGCGTGGTTTCGGTATCTTGATCAGATTCAATTACTTGATTGTTCTGTTCTATGGTTTGTTTGTTACATTGTCCTTCCTCATGTGTATGCATCCATTCCTTAAATATTTCCATTAAAATGTCTGAATCATTCAAATCATCATAATTAACCAATTCTACACATTTATGAGCAAGTTCAAGTAATAATCCTTTAATTGATTGTTTACAGCCAATTGCTTTTGCTGTAGTTTGTACTGGAGGTTCAATAAGCATAGTACTCTACGAATCAGCAACGTCCAAAAAAAAAGGCAAGGACAATGTTGAACTGTTGTCTTCCAATGACTTTTCTCTAACAAATGGCTCATCATTAATCATCGCATCCGCAAATTCATCTTTATACCAACATTTTGGAATAAGAGAAATATGAAAGTAGCCTTTTTCAGACTGTAAAAGAATACAAAACCAATGGTGGCAAACAATCTCACTATCAAGTAATAAAATACATATGCATAAATGAAACCTATTTTTTAACAGCACTACGTTTTGTCCAACATATGACTTATGCTCGATTGATTGAACTTCCCAAACCTCAGCAATCAAAGAATAATCAACCTCTTCGAGAAGTTCATTAAAACGTATCTGTCAAAAATCATACTCAAGTTCAATTGGTCTATTATTAACCACTTCTAAAGTTAAATTATCTAGGTCCTCAAGATCAACCTTTTTATAATAATACATTACTGCCTCATTCATTTGGTCCATATATAATTGTAAAATTTTAGGTGTTATATATTTTTGCAAAACGTTATATATATTCAGAAAAAGTCATCCAGAAATACTGGGTGTCATATATGATGTTGTTTTTTCGCACCAAGCTGCAAACCAACTTGCGAATTGTTCTTCTGCAACACATGATTCAATTTGTTTGAACAAGGTATAAAGTTGTGTTTTTTCATTTATAGCCCGTTTAATTATGCTATTTATTGATTCTAACCATTGGATAGATATTATTCCTGCTATAAAAACCCAACCTGTAAATGCTTTTGCCCAGGTTGTTTTACACGGATCAAGCTATCTAAGTAAGTATTCAGTTGATTCTAAAAAATCAATCATTAGCTGTTACCAATATCTCTCAAATGTTTCTTTATATAAAATGTTTTGGGCACAATAAAATGCCTTAATAAAATCTAAATAACAGTTACCAAGAAGCTTTGCAAGCTGCTTTTCAAGATTATGTCCAATGTGCCAAACATAATAGAGAAGGTAGGTATTAGTGTATATTTCAGAAACAACACTTTCAAGACCTAGGTCTGTATCAATCATAAAGTTGCCGGGCTGGACTCCTGTAGCTTCAATTGTTTGCTGTAGAACCTATCTATAACTTTCACTTGTTTCATCAGGCAATATAGCCTGTGCAATGATCCATGATCTAAAATTATTATCTACAATAGCAAAAATGCTTAATGGCAAATTATAGGTATTAGTTGCTGCTGTATTATCATTTAAAATAATATCTGCATAATGTCACCAAAGTTCTTTTTGTTCAGGAGTCATACAGAACACATCCTGTAATCTATTTGTTTCTGGATCAATCTATAATTGAACATACCAATCAGGGTTCTTGGCATGCTCTTTTTCAAAGTGCTGTAAAAGATTTGCGGCATCACCACCCTCTATTTTATAAGCATGGCAAAACTTATATACATAGTTTTTCATATTATAATCTACAATTGTTGCTTCAGGAAATAATCCATGAAGTAACTTAACCTGAGATAGTATATCAAGATTACAAAGCGTATAGCTTTCAATAAGCTTCTTCATTTCTGTAGTAAGTTTTCAGTAGTAAGTAGCAAAGCTAGCATTTTCAGGAACTAGCTGGTGACTGTGTTCAAGATGCATTGACGTCAACTTAATTATAGTTTTATTATCAGGCCCCTTACTCTTGGATGCATTCACAAGAAAAGGACAACCAATTTTTTTTTGATCTCTTATTTCTTTGCTTTTCAGGTGAGGAAGTTTTATGTGATACATATTTATCAGATTGTTCACAGTCCCAGGTACGTTGGCATAGATCACAGCTATTATCTACCCGCTTCTTCCTAATCATAAAATTATTTTGATATGCATAATGTTCTAGTGTCTCTTGATATTCTTCGCATGTTTCAAAGGTTTTTCCACAATAGAGTTCAATACGAATTAAAGGTAGGTGCCCAAGTTGATTATTATCAGTATCATTAGAGATGTACTTGTCATTATATAGTTCATCATTAATATCAACGTCTTCGTCAAGTTCAATATCAATATCCTCTTCAAGTTCAATATCAGGTTCATTTTCCGTATCTTTCTCAAGTTCAATTCTAAGTTCGCCTTCAGTATCCTTTTTAAATTTAGAATTATTATCATTTTCAATTCCAACATATGAAGGTTCATCCAACTTATCAACTGCCAGTAAAATGTTTTCTATACTAGCGAAGGGTCTTTTTGCATTGAAAAAGTTAAAGTCCAAATAATGGAAAAAAAAAGAACCAGAAAAGTTTTGTTGCAAAAAAAATATATTATTATATTTTTATGTTATATAAAGTTTTGTAAGCTTTTTTTTAGTTACACTGAACTCTAATTTGTTAAAAAAAAAAAAAAAAAAAAAAAGCGAAAGTGCAAGCGAAAGTACAAGATAATAGTGCAAGGAGAGCACAAGTATATATGCAATCGAAAGTGTAAGATAAAAGTGAAGGAAAGTACAAATATATGTGCAAGCGAAAGTTCAAGATAAAAGTGCAAGGAGAGTATAAGTATATATATATGACAGTTACGTCAAAGAAAGTAAAGGTTCGTTATGTGAGAGATTACGTATCTTCAAAGAACAAAGGCTATGTATAAAGAAAGAAAGAGTGTGATAGTAAGATTAGTGCCTTTGAATACTCAAGCAAAACATTATCATTTGTTCTAACCTTTAACCCTTCTGCTAACAATAAGAAGTAACAGCGATAAGAAGATACAATTACATACGCACGTGCATATATACTTAAATACCTTATATATGATTACATATGTACGTACGTACGTACTTAGTAATATATTTTAATTGATAGTCTTATTTTTCACTTTAATAGTGATATATTTTAATTTTGTATCACTACCTATAAGTGACAGTATCACATGCATGACAAGTAACTTTTTCCTATAAGAATATATAGTTGCATATAGCTAATAGAATAATTAAAGCTATAGTACTGTAATAAAATAATTATATTAGTGCATCAAATTGATCGATTTGTAATTTGTATCTTATATATGTATATAACAAATATCACTTAACTGCAGTAATGATCATCGTAGTTATGATTAGCAAAATTTATTTATTATATATAAAATTTATACAAAACTTATTTTTAATTATACTTATTTTAAATGGAATTTAAACAAGACTTATCTTTAACTATACTTATTATATACAGAATTCATATAAGACTTATTTTTAACAATATTTATTATATATAGAATTTATATAAAACTTATTTTTAACTATACTTATTATATATAGAATTTATACAAGACTTATATTTAACTATACTTATTATATATAGAATTTATATAAGACTTATCTTTAATTATACTTATTATATAGAGAATTTATACAGAACTTAACTTTAACTATATTAATTATATATAAAAATTAATATAATATATATTATTTAAATCATCAATAAAAAGGTTTCTATATAAATATTCTGTATTATGTGATACAAAATTCGCAGTCAATTCTGTATAATTCTATACGGAATTTTATACTGAAAATTTTAAGTATTAATTCAAGATAATTTCAGTATATTTTTTTTCATAGAGAATATAAAAAAAAAAAACTTATCAGAAGAGCACACCAAATAATAATAGTTCTGAAGCTCCAACGATCACTTCAGTGACAACTTCAGCAATGATTCCAGCAATGACTCCAATGAAGATTCTAAAAAAAATATATACATTAAAAAAAAAACCATTGTGTTAAATTAAATAAAAAAAACAGATAATCTATATATGATCAACAATCTAAAAAATGATTGTTTAATCATATAGGAGTCACATAGCAACAGGTCACTATTATATTTTTGCCTATAATTTAATATAAAATAAATATTAGTTTTAAGTATTTTACAAATACTTAAATTATCAGTATTAAATAAGTAATTAATTATAATATTAATTAAATATTTTAAAAATAAGTATTGGATAAATAATTAATTTTAATACTTTTATATACTATAATAATAAGTATTAAATAAATAATTAATTTTAATACTTATTTTATACTATAATACTAAATATTAAA